CAGATGAAAACCAGTGGGAAACTAGTGGAAAACTAGAGGAAAACCAGTGGAAAACCAGTGGAAAACCAGAGAAGATCTAGAGGAAAACGAGTGAAAAACCAGAGGAGATCTAGAGGAAAACCAGTGGAAAACCAGAGGAGATCTAGAGGAAAACCAGAGGAGATCTAGAGGAAAACTAGTGGAAAACCAGAGGAGATCTAGAGGAAAACCTGAGGAGATCTAGAGGAAAACTAGTGGAAAACCAGAGGAGATCTAGAGGAAAACCAGTGAAAAACCAGAGAAGATCTAGAGGAAAACTAGTGGAAAACCAGAGGAGATCTAGAGGAAAACCAGTGAAAAACCAGTGGAAATCTAGTGGAAAACCAGTGGAAAACCAGAGGAGATCTAGAGGAAAACCAGAGAAGATCTAGAGGAAAACGAGTGAAAAACCAGAGGAGATTTAGAGGAAAACCAGTGGAAAACCAGAGGAGATCTAGAGGAAAACTAGTGGAAAACCAGAGGAGATCTAGAGGAAAACCAGAGGAGATCTAAAGGGAAACCAGAGGAGATCTAGAGGAAATCTAGTGGAAAACCAGAGAAGATCTAGAGGAAAACGAGTGAAAAACCAGAGGAGATCTAGAGGAAAACCAGTGGAAAACCAGAGGAGATCTAGAGGAAAACTAGTGGAAAACCAGAGGAGATCTAGAGGAAAACCAGTGGAAAACCAGAGAAGATCTAGAGGAAAACCAGTGAAAAACCAGAGAAGATCTAGAGGAAAACCAGTGGAAAACCAGAGGAGATCTAGAGGAAAACTAGTGGAAAACCAGAGGAGATCTAGAGGAAACCAGTGGAAAACCAGTGGAAAAACCAGAGGAAAACTAGAGGAAAACTAGAGGGAAACCAGTGGAAAACCAGTGGAAAAACCAGAGGAAAACTAGAGGAAAACTAGAGGGAAACCAGTGGAAAACCAGTGGAAAAACCAGAGGAAAACTAGAGGGAAACCAGTGGAAAACCAGTGGAAAAACCAGTGGAAAAACCAGAGGAAAACTAGAGGGAAACCAGTGGAAAACCAGTGGAAAAACCAGTGGAAAAACCAGTGGAAAAACCAGAGGGAAACTAGAGGGAAACCAGTGGAAAACCAGAGGAAAACCAGTGAAAAAACAGAGGAAATCTAGAGGAAAACCAGTGAAAAAACAGAGGAAATCTAGAGGAAAACCAGTGGAAAAACAGAGGAAATCTAGAGGAAAACCAGTGGAAAACCAGTGGAAAAACCAGTGGAAAAACCAGAGGGAAACTAGAGGGAAACCAGTGGAAAAACCAGTGGAAAAACCAGTGGAAAAACCAGAGGGAAAAACCAGAGGGAAACTAGAGGGAAACCAGTGGAAAACCAGTGGAAAAACCAGTGGAAAAACCAGAGGGAAACTAGAGGGAAACTAGAGGGAAACCAGTGGAAAAACCAGTGGAAAAACCAGAGGGAAAAACCAGAGGGAAACTAGAGGGAAACCAGTGGAAAACCAGTGAAAAACAGAGGAAATCTAGAGGAAAACCAGTGGAAAACCAGGAAATCTAGAGGAAAACCAGTGGGAACTTCAGCTGTTGTCAGACACCTTCAGTTGTGAAATGAATGTTCTCATCAGTAGCGAACACAAATCAAAACACACAATCATGTGATCATGAAAACACTCCTCCGTGATTGGGCACTGCGCCGGCTCATTCGCATACAGCTGTGGGTCATTAACACACATCACAATCTGGGGACTGGACACACTTGAGTCTGTTAGTGCTGGGGAATAATACACTGGGAATGATGAATCCCACTAGCGGGAAGAGCCGAGTGTCCTGCAGAGCTCAAACACACACACACACACACACACACACACACACAGACAGAGAGAGAGAGAGAGAGAGAGGAATTTGCTTGATGCAGCACAGATGAAAAACACACGAGACACAGAGAGAGAGATAAGAACGAGAGACTGGTTTACTACAGCACTAATCTTATCAGTGTGCATGACTGACCCACACTACAGCACACACTCACACACTACAGCACACACACTCACACACTACAGCACACACACACACACACTCACTCACCCAGAGCACAATGAAGACGTTCTATAGGTCAGCCTGACATCTGAGCGACACAAACACACCCTCTCTCTCTCTCTCTCTCTCTCTCTCTCTCTCTCTCTCTCTCTCTCTCTCTCTCTCTCTCTCTCTCTCTCTCTCTCTCTCTCTCTCTCACACACACACACACACACACACACACACACACACACACACACACACACACACACACACACACACACACACACACACACACAGGCGCTTAGACCTCAGGGCTGGATTTGAAGGCTGGTTTTAATTCAATCAAATAGGCTCCGTTTGGGAAGCGCATGGAAAACTCCACACGTAATGTGACCCATTTACAGCCCTTAAACAGAACCGGCCACATCCAGATTCACCAGTCTGAGAAACACACACACACACACACGTCTGACACACACACACACACACGTCTGAGAAACACACACACGTCTGAGAAACACACACACACACATCTGAGAGACACACACACACACGTCTGAGAGACACACACACACACACACACACACATCTGACAGACAGACACACACACACACACAGACACACACCTGAACTGCACAAAACTCAACATCAGGATCTGCACACGATGAGTGCCTGATATGAACCCAGACAGCAGCTGTGTGTTTGACCTCTGACCTCCAGCACACATTCAATTAGCATTTTAACACAGTGCTGGTCTTGGGTTTCACATTCACACACACACACACACACACACACACACTCTGGCTCGTGTTACAGATGATCTTACTGTAACCAGTTAAACACGTCTTCAAATCACAGCGACTATTCTGAATCATGAATCACTGCAGTTCTGAACTGAATCAAATCAGTTCAAAAGGAATCAAATCAGTTCTAAAATGAATCATTATCGTTCTAAAATAAATCACTGTATATCAAAAATTAATCAGTATAGTTAAAAAATGAACCACTAGATCTAAAGTTAATTAATACAGTTCTAAAATGAATCATAGTTAAAAAATGAATCACTGCGGTTCTAAAACGAATGACATAAGTCATTTTTGTCACAGCCAATCAGTGTGTCGTCTTAATAATATCTGCAGTCTTCCAGCAGGGTTTTCTGCGAGTGTGCATATGATCACTGAACACACTCACACACTCACACTGTGTGGTCTGAGATCTGAACAACACACTGTTTACCTGACGGGCCGTGGGCCGGGTCAGTGACGGGCCACAAACAGCGCCGGAAAACTGCTCTCATTTTCCACTTCTTCATGGAGGAAGCCTCTCTCTCTCTCACACACACACACACACACACACACTCTTGGCTTCAGCAGCCCGTAATGAAGCGTCTGTGTTTCTTCCACAGTTTTACGGTCGGACCGTCCAAGCTCTTATTCTTAGCCTCCATAAAGTGAGCGTTCACTGATGATCGAGTGCTGGTTAACCTCAAACAGACCTTAAAGGGCCAGCGCACTGCGGCCCAAGGCATTGTGGGTCCCTGAAGCAGTGGCATTAGTACTTAAAAATATAAGTGAAATCAATCAGGTATCAAACTTTATGATGCAAAAACTGTGATGCACAGTGGAGAGAATTATTGACTGTCAGGAAGATAATATTATCACTATTAAACTTTTTAAAAAAATTATTGTGACTTTTTATCTCACAATTCTGACTCTCTTTTTTTCTCAGAATTGTGACTCTATAACTCGAATTGCTAGTTTATATCTCACAATTATTAGAACTGCGAGATATAAACTCCAAATTCTGACTTTTTCGAGTTTATAACTCGCAATTCTGACCGTTTTTCTCAGATTTGAGCGATAAAGAGGCACAATTAATCGCAATCTACTATTCTAAAACATTAATCATTGCAGTTCTGAAATGGGTCACTATAGCTCAAAAAATGAATCAATGCAGTTCTAAAATTAATCATTATAGTTCAAAATAACTCAAAACGGTTAAAAAAAATGAATTATTATAGTTCAAAAATGAATCTATTCTAAAATAAAACATTAAAGTAAAATAATGGATAGCTACAGTTCAAATATGAATCACTGCGATTCTAAAATGAATCATAGTTGAAAAATGAATCAAAACTTCTAACACTTCTAAAATTAATTATATTGAAATTAAGGATCACTACAGTTAAAATATAAATCACAGCGATTCTAAAATGAATCGTAGTTAAAAAATGAATCAAAACTTCTCAAATTAATCATTAGTAAAATAAAGGATCGCTACAGTTCAAATATGAATCACTGCGATTCTAAAATGACTCAATACAGTTCTAAAATGAATCAGTATAGTTCAAATGCAATCAATACACATAATAAGACATGATGAGAATAACATAGTAGCCCATGTTTACACATATGATATTACAATAATAAAGTCCATGATAGTATATTTGATCCACGATAATACAGTCAGATGATCGTTAATATTATTTCAATTTGTATACTGTGAGTTTCTGACATACTATTGAATGAAATTAAGCAAATAAAAGCGGGTTGTTTTAGATAAATGGAGTATGAATGAGTAAATCTGAACGATCCTCCTCACAGAAACATTAAACCTACAAAAAATTAACATTTATCACCGACATCAGCTCTAAATCTCATGTTATATCACGTTAAAGCAAAGAAAAACGCGTTCAAATTCCAGAAAAAAGAGAAGTGAGAAAGAAGGAACTCGTCGTTTCTCCTGCCACGACTTTCCGTTCTGGACGAACCGACGAGAAAAGACGCAAGAACCGATTCAAACGGGCAACTTTCTGACTGAAGTCTTTATGTCGTCTGAATATATCGTTAAAATGAATCTGCTGTTTTTCTCCGTTAACCTGGGTTGGTCGTTTAAGAAAGTGAGGTAAATGTAGAAATCTGAGGTAAATGTAGAAATCTGAGGTAAATGTAGAAATCTGAGGTAAATGCGCGAGAACAAAAGATACTCACGTTCGCGCGCTCGTCAGCCGGAGGGTCTCGAGAAAGAAAGTCGGTGATTTAAAACATCCAGAACACGAAGCTTTCCGTTAAACCGTTCGCGAGTTCACCAAGTCATTCACCGACACACACACACTCTCTCTCTCTCTCTCTCTCTCTCTCTCTCTCTCTCTCTCTCTCTCTCTCTCTCTCTCTCTCTCTCTCTGCCGTCACCACGGCAACACACCGGCGCTTCCACGCGGGTTTACAGCTGCATGTGCGCGCGCGCGCGTGCTCGCTCAATAATTCTTTAATCTGAGCAACACGAGGCTCTCATTGTTCCGATGTTGCGTGATTTTATTGCGGATATAGGCTTTGTTTTGCCTCGTTTTAAATTATATATAGGCTATACAACTCTTTGTTAGACTTCCTCACATCTGGAAAAGTTTAGAAGAGGGTAAAAACTGTATAAAATAAATTTAAAAATCTGTAAAATAATTTAATAGAAATATATGTAAATTAATAAATGAATAAACTTATAATAATAAATACAATTTGATGTAAAGAAAGACACTCCCTGCATCTCAATAGATCTACTTTAGATCTAGATGTTAATGAGAAATATCTCAGAATACTAATTAGATTTTTTGGTTACTTTACAATACAATAATGCACCAACAATTGTCAATGAGCAAAACATTTGTTACAGTATTTTATAATTAGTCTTTGATATCGTTAGTTCATATTAGCCCTTTAAATAATAACAGATACAACTTTTGATTTTAATAAGCATTAGAAAATGTTGAAATTAACATTTAAATACTTTAAATGTATTGTTAATGGCTAGTTCATGTTAACTCTACGAGACCCTAGTGTTAGCCCTTCATCTCTCAGATGTGTGTGTTTGTTGTGCTCATCTCTCAGATGTGTGTGTTTGTTGTGCTCGCAGGCGGAGGCGAGGCTGTGTGTATTTGTTTGCATGGCACACATTCTTCACCCACTGTAACCCTGACGGACCACCAGCCGTCTGCACTAAACTGACCTCAGATCTGCAGTAAACTGACCTCAGATCTGCAGTAAACTGACCTCAGATCTGCTCTAAACTGACCTCAGATCTGCTCTAAACTGACCTCAGATCATCTGTGACGCTCCTGCGACACACAGCTGAAGAAATAAGAGGTGTGTGAATACAGAGAGCTTACAGACATCACAGAGGAGATTCACAGCTCACTCTCTCATACGACAAAGACAACCTGCCTCATTTAATCACGCAATATTTCTCTTCACATGCCTGAGCAGTTGAGACGTTGCGTTCCCTCAAGAAACTTTGCGTTCGCTCGCAAAACTAATGCGTTCCCTCAAGAAACTTTGCGTTCGCTCGCAAAACTAATGTGTTCCCTCAAGAAACTTTGCGTTCACTCGCAAAACTAATGCGTTCCCTCAAGAAACTTTGCGTTCACTCGCAAAACTAATGCGTTCCCTCAAGAAACTTTGCGTTCACTCGCAAAACTAATGCGTTCCCTCAAGAAACTTTGGGTTCGCTCTCAAAACTAATGCGTTCCCTCAAGAAACTTTGCGTTCACTCGCAAAACTAATGCGTTCCCTCAAGTAACTTTGCGTTCGCTCTCAAAACGAATGCGTTCCCTCAAGAAACTTTGCGTTCGCTCTCAAAACTAATGCGTTCCCTCAAGAAACTTTGGGTTCGCTCTCAAAACTAATGCGTTCCCTCAAGAAACTTTGCGTTCGCTCTCAAAACTAATGCATTCGCTCTCAAAACTAATGCATTCGCTCTCAAAACGAATGCGTTCCCTCAAGAAACTTTGCGTTCGCTCTCAAAACTAATGCGTTCCCTCAAGAAACTTTGGGTTCGCTCTCAAAACTAATGCGTTCCCTCAAGTAACTTTGCGTTCGCTCTCAAAACGAATGCGTTCCCTCAAGAAACTTTGCGTTCGCTCTCAAAACTAATGCATTCGCTCTCAAAACGAATGCGTTCCCTCAAGAAACTTTGCATTCGCTCTCAAAACTAATGCGTTCCCTCAAGAAACTTTGCGTTCGCTCTCAAAACGAATGCGTTCCCTCAAGAAACTTTGCGTTCGCTCTCAAAACTAATGCGTTCCCTCAAGAAACTTTGCGTTCGCTCTCAAAACGAATGCGTTCCCTCAAGAAACTTTGCATTCGCTCTCAAAACTAATGCGTTCGCTCAAGAAACTTTGCGTTCACTCGCAAAACTAATGCGTTCCCTCAAGAAACTTTGCGTTCGCTCGCAAAACTAATGCCTTCCCTCAAGAAACTTTGGGTTCACTCGCAAAACTAATGCGTTCCCTCAAGTAACTTTGCGTTCGCTCTCAAAACGAATGCGTTCCCTCAAGAAACTTTGCGTTCGCTCTCAAAACTAATGCGTTCCCTCAAGAAACTTTGCGTTCGCTCTCAAAACTAATGCGTTCCCTCAAGAAACTTTGCGTTCGCTCTCAAAACTAATGCGTTCCCTCAAGAAACTTTGCGTTCGCTCTCAAAACTAATGCGTTCCCTCAAGAAACTTTGCGTTCGCTCGCAAAACTAATGCGTTCGCTCAAGAAACTTTGCGTTCACTCGCAAAACTAATGCGTTCCCTCAAGAAACTTTGCGTTCGCTCTCAAAACTAATGCGTTCCCTCAAGAAACTTTGCGTTCGCTCGCAAAACTAATGCGTTCCCTCAAGAAACTTTGCGTTCGCTCTCAAAACTAATGCGTTCCCTCAAGAAACTTTGCGTTCGCTCTCAAAACTAATGCGTTCCCTCAAGAAACTTTGCGTTCGCTCTCAAAACTAATGCGTTCCCTCAAGAAACTTTGCGTTCGCTTCGCAAAACTAATGCGTTCCCTCAAGAAACTTTGCGTTCGCTCTCAAAACTAATGCGTTCCCTCAAGAAACTTTGCGTTCGCTCTCAAAACTAATGCGTTCCCTCAAAAAACTTTGCGTTCGCTCTCAATACTAATGCGTTCCCTCAAGAAACTTTGCGTTCGCTCTCAAAACTAATGCGTTCCCTCAAGAAACTTTGCGTTCGCTCGCAAAACTAATGCGTTCCCTCAAGAAACTTTGCATTCGCTCGCAAAACTAATGCGTTCCCTCAAGAAACTTTGCGTTCGCTCTCAAAACTAATGCGTTCCCTCAAGAAACTTTGCGTTCGCTCTCGAAACTAATGCATTCGCTCAAGAAACTTTGCGTTCGCTCTCAAAACTAATGCGTTCCCTCAAGAAACTTTGCGTTCGCTCTCAAAACTAATGCGTTCCCTCAAGAAACTTTGCGTTCGCTCTCAAAACTAATGCGTTCCCTCAAGAAACTTTGCGTTCGCTCTCAAAACTAATGCGTTCCCTCAAGAAACTTTGCGTTCGCTCGCAAAACTAATGCGTTCGCTCAAGAAACTTTGCGTTCACTCGCAAAACTAATGCGTTCCCTCAAGAAACTTTGCGTTCGCTCTCAAAACTAATTCGTTCCCTCAAGAAACTTTGCGTTCGCTCTCAAAACTAATGCGTTCCCTCAAGAAACTTTGCGTTCGCTCTCAAAACTAATGCGTTCCCTCAAGAAACTTTGCGTTCGCTCTCGAAACTAATGCGTTCCCTCAAGAAACTTTGCGTTCGCTCTCAAAACTAATGCGTTCGCTCAAGAAACTTTGGGTTCGCTCTCAAAACTAATGCGTTCCCTCAAGAAACTTTGCGTTCGCTCTCAAAACTCATGCGTTCCCTCAAGAAACTTTGCGTTCGCTCTCAAAACTAATGCGTTCCCTCAAGAAACTTTGCGTTCCCTCTCGAAACTAATGCGTTCCCTCAAGAAACTTTGCGTTCGCTCTCAAAACTAATGCGTTCGCTCAAGAAACTTTGCGTTCGCTCTCAAAACTAATGCGTTCCCTCAAGAAACTTTGCGTTCGCTCTCAAAACTAATGCGTTCGCTCTCAAAACTAATGCGTTCCCTCAAGAAACTTTGCGTTCGCTCTCGAAACTAATGCGTTCCCTCAAGAAACTTTGCGTTCGCTCTCGAAACTAATGCGTTCCCTCAAGAAACTTTGCGTTCGCTCTCAAAACTAATGCGTTCCCTCAAGAAACTTTGGGTTCGCTCTCAAAACTAATGCGTTCCCTCAAGAAACTTTGCGTTCGCTCTCGAAACTAATGCGTTCCCTCAAGAAACTTTGCGTTCGCTCTCAAAACTAATGCGTTCCCTCAAGAAACTTTGCGTTCGCTCTCAAAACTAATGCGTTCCCTCAAGAAACTTTGTGTTCGCTCGCAAAACTAATGCGTTCGCTCGCAAAACTAATGCGTTCCCTCCAGAAACTTTGGGTTCACTCTCAAAACTAATGCGTTCCCTCAAGAAACTTTGGGTTCGCTCTCAAAACTAATGCGTTCCCTCAAGAAACTTTGCGTTCGCTCTCAAAACTAATGCGTTCCCTCAAGAAACTTTGGGTTCGTTCTCAAAACTAATGCGTTCTCTCAAGAAACTTTGGGTTCGCTCTCAAAACTAATGCATTCGCTCAAGAAACTTTGGGTTCACTCGCAAAACTAATGCGTTCCCTCAAGTAACTTTGCGTTCGCTCTCAAAACTAATGCATTCGCTCTCAAAACTAATGCGTTCGCTCAAGAAACTTTGCGTTCACTCGCAAAACTAATGCGTTGCCTCAAGAAACTTTGCGTTCGCTCGCAAAACTAATGCGTTCCCTCAAGAAACTTTGGGTTCACTCGCAAAACTAATGCGTTCCCTCAAGTAACTTTGCGTTCGCTCTCAAAACGAATGCGTTCCCTCAAGAAACTTTGCGTTCGCTCTCAAAACTAATGCATTCGCTCTCCAAACTAATGCGTTCCCTCAAGAAACTTTGGGTTCACTCGCAAAACTAATGCGTTCCCTCAAGAAACTTTGGGTTCACTCGCAAAACTAATGCGTTCCCTCAAGTAACTTTGCGTTCGCTCTCAAAACTAATGCATTCGCTCTCAAAACTAATGCGTTCGCTCAAGAAACTTTGCGTTCACTCGCAAAACTAATGCGTTCCCTCAAGAAACTTTGCGTTCGCTCGCAAAACTAATGCGTTCCCTCAAGAAACTTTGGGTTCACTCGCAAAACTAATGCGTTCCCTCAAGTAACTTTGCGTTCGCTCTCAAAACTAATGCGTTCGCTCAAGAAACTTTGCGTTCACTCGCAAAACTAATGCGTTC